CCCAGTGTCCCATACAATGTCCCCATCCCCACCCCATCCTCACTCCAATGTCCCCACCCCATTGTCTCATCCTCTTCCCAGTATCCCCATCCAATGTCCCCATCTTCACTCCAATGTCCCCATGTGTCTCATCCTCATCCCAATGTCCCCATCCTAACCCCATTGTCCCATCCTCACCATGTCCCACCCAATGTCCCCATCCTCATCCCAATGTTCCCATCCAATATCCCCACCCAATGTCCCCATCCTTACGCAGTGTCCCACCCAATGTCCCCATCCTCATCCCGATGTCCCCATCCTCACCTCAATGTCCCCACCCCAACATCTCATCCTCATCCCAATGTCCCATCCTCACCCAGTGTCCCATACAATGTCCCCATCCTCACTCCTATGTCCCCACCCCATTGTCTCATCCTCACCCCAAGGTCTCCACCCCAACGTCCCCATCCTCACTCCAGTATCCCCATCCAATGTCCCCATCCAATATCCCCACCCAATGTCCCCATCCTTGCCCAGTGTCCCACCCAATGTCCCCATCCCCACCCAATGTCCCCATCCTCACTCCAATGTTTCCACCCAATGTCCCCATTCTCTCACCTCTTTTTTCCCAATCCCAATGTTTCATCCTCATCCCAATGTCCCCATCTTCACCCCCACGTCCCCATCCTCAACCTCTTGTCCCCTTTCTGATGTCCCCATCTTCATTCCAATGTTCCCATCCCAATATCTTCATCCTCACCCTGATGTCCCCATCCTGATATCCCTATCCTTGCCCCGATGCTCCTGCCCTGTTTTCCTAATCCTCACCCCAATGTCCCTGTCCTGATGTCCCCACCCTCACCTCAATGTCCCCATCCCGCTATCCCCATTCTCACACTGGTGTCCCTGTCATATGTCCCTGTTTTCACCCCCCGTTTTCCCATGTCCTCATCTTCGCTCCAATGTTCCTGTTCTGATGTCTCCATCTTCATTCTCATGTTCCTGCTCCAATGTCATCCAGTGTCCCTCTCATGACACCCCCACTTTCAGCCCATCCTGATGTCCCCCTCCTCGTTCCAATGTCCCCATCCCAATGTCTTCATCCTCACTCCAATGTCCTCATCCTCATCCCAACATCCCCACCTTCATCCCAACGTCTCCACCTTCATCCCAGTGTCTCCATCTTCATCCTCATGTCCCCATCCCAACGTCTTCATCCTCACCCGGGTGTCCTCACTCTGATGTCCTCATCCTCACCCCAAAGTCCCCATCTTCATCCCAGTATCCCTATCCAAACCTCTTGCTCTTCCCCATGATGTCCCCACCGCCACCTCCCCATCCCAACACCTTTCTCCTTGCCCAATGTCCCCATCCTCACCCTGTCCCCATCCCCAAGTGAAGGACGAGACCACGCTCAGGTACTTCTGACACAGATGACCTTTAATGACAGGGAGCCCCCACATGAGCAAAACCACCCCCAAACCCCACACTACACAGAGCATCACCCCGTGCTGCCATCCCTCCCCACAAAACCCCCTGCTCAGATGGACAGATGGATGCAGCGTCTCCATCAATCACCGGGGCTGGGACATCCCTGTGTGTCTGCACTGTGGTTGTCACCTCCCCATGGGGACACAGCCACAAGAGACAGTGGGATGAAAGCAGGAAAATTTGGGGGGGCCTGGGAGGGAATGTAGAATGGGAGAGTTTTAGGTCAGCCGTAGGTTTTGGGAGTCCAGCTGTTTGGTCTGGAGGATGCTACGAAGAGCAGCAGTGCCATTGCACCATGTCCCCACAGGGCACAGCACGGAGCAGAAGTGCCTCAGTCCCATCTCACTATGGGATACAACGGGGAGCAGTGGGAGTTGTGGGGTCCCAAACCTTTGGGGACCAGCAGGCCGCAAAACCCCACAGAAAGCGTGGAATAAAACCCCGATTTCTGCCCTTCTCCTCCGTGTTCCCCCCTTCCCTGTGTGTGCCCCCCAGCCCCACCAGCAGCAATTTGGGGACACCCCCACATGTGTCCCATTCTCCAATCCCTGCAGCCTGCGAGAAAATCCTCTTTGAACCCCCCAAAAAGCCACTTTTTCCCCCCCTTGTTTCATCCAGTCCTGCGGTGTGGGGCTGCGTGAGGCCATTTGGTGACACCCATCTGTGGGCTGCCATGGATGCAGTGGTGGCACATTGGTGACACTGGCTGTGACAAAGTCTGGGGGGGGAACCCTCTGTCGATGGGGTCACGGTCACTGTGGGGATCCTTCAGTTCTAGGGATGGGATGACGGCACAGCCCCCTAACCTTAATCCTAAACCCTACACTTCATCCTAAGCCCATCGCGCCCCTCCTTCCCCGACAGCCCCACCTCTTTGCTACCCTCCCCGTCAAAACGAAAGGAAATAAATAGGGCTGTTTATATATATAATATATATATATATATATTTAAAACAAACGAACAAACAAACAGAGTTGTCTGGGTGCTGGCGATGGAGCGAGCGCGTTAGCTGCGGGGGGGGGGGGGGGGCCCGGGGGGGGGCCCCCCCCCCCCCGGGGGGGGGCCCCCGTGGGGGGAGAGGGGGTGCCCCCCCCCCCCCCCCTCCCAAAGCAGGCACACATGAAACCGGGGCGAAA